ATCACTGCGTGTCTCGCCATTTTGCCGAAGGTTTCGATTTAAAACAATCACATTTTTCTATAGACGTCTTACACTCATACCTCGTGCCGTTTCGTACCGATTATTTAGCGGTGTAATATTTTTCCCGTGTAATAAAATGTTTTCTATACTTCGTTTCAGCTTCTGTCCGAGCGCGGCCGAGGTTATGAGCCGAAGGGCCAATCAAACAGCGAAAGAGGCACAACGTCATGGCGTGCTCTCTGCAGTTGATAGGACCAGACGGTATTCGCCGTCTCTCCGTGCGTGCCCCTCCGCCGGCTTCTCTTATCAAGCACAGAGAGCACACCATGACGCTGCGGTTTTCGCGGTGTTTCATTGGCCCTTCGGCTCATAACATCGACCGCGCTCGGACCGAAGCTGAAACGAAGTATAGACCAGTTGCTATGTGCAGCATTCATTCTAGCTCATACGACGCACGTCTTATTAGCTAAAATGAATGTTGCGCTGCGACGTCACGAGAAGAGCGCTACGGTTTTATTTCTAGGAGGTGGTTAGTGTGCTGTTGGGCTGATGTTTGTATGTGCCGTGTATGTGTATGCGCTTAATGTATATTTTCAGCTGCTGCTTGTGGTATGCATAATGTATCTACATGTGTGTATAATAAAGGTGCCAAAAAAACCCGAAGCGTAATCGTGGTGTGAGCAAATAAAATTATTTTTGGAGCACATAAATTGGGCGGTATCTGTAGTCCGTAGCAACTCGAGAAGGTAGGGCGAGGGTAAGACGGGCCGGGGAGGAGGAAGCAGACGGAACGCTAAAGAGGCTAGGAGGTTTGCCCCTCTCCTCTTTGCAGCATTCCGTCTGCTTCCTCCTTTCCTGCCCGTCTTGTCCTCGCCCTACCATCCAAGTACTCTCTAGATATACGTGCTATCTCTGGCGGGTGCTCGGACGACACTTCCAGTACAAGATTGAAATTCTCGACCCCCGGCGGATACTCAGCCGACGCTCTAAGTACTCTATAGATATACGCCCGATATCCAGCCGGCGCTCAGACGACACGCCAGCTTGATTGACATACGCGATGCCCGGTGGGTACTCAGCCGACGCTCCAAGTACTCTATGGATATACGGGCGATATCCGGCGGGTACTCCGACAACTCGATTGACCTTGGGTTAACACGCGACGTCTCGCATGCACTCAGCCGACGCTGCTAGTACTCTATAGATATTTTCGGCGCCCGGTGGGTACTCAGCCTGACGGTGGCGGTATTCCTGTGATATTGTGCTGGTACTGCCCCGCTTTTAAAAATATATTGTCTAGACATCGTGTGGATGGGAAGAACCGTATATTCCGAGTATTTGCCAACCATATTATGTAGATACTCGCCTAATATTCTTGTGCCGCTTGGGTTACAACCTCAATAATAATAATAATAAACGACCTACCTCGACAGCGTACGTTTGTTTCTTATGCTGTCCTGCACTACGCCGGTAATGCACTTCAGGTCGTCGTCGTAACTGATCTGCATGACGTGGTTTTATTTTACGTAATTTTCACCCCTCTGAACTGAGCTGGGTTCTTCACAGAAAAATAACGCACATTGCGGAGGCCTCTACGGCCATGGCGATGCACTTGCTTGTGTTGCTCGTTTACCGAAGCAATTCAATGAAGACGCCCGCTGCAACAAAGGCCAGCAAACCTATTGTGTCGTCTGCTACCAAAGCAAAGCGGAGTGGAATACTTCAGAAATGGCTTCCATCGTTGCAATACGACGCTGAGATGACAAGAACATCTCCATAATTAGATATTAAGAAGTTAGGTTGCTTACAAAAAATTATTTACTTACTTGTAAGCGAAAATCTAGCCTCCTGTCGAGTCTCCATGCATTAGTTCATAGCAACGTCCCTAGCAACGGTTTGTTTGGACCCAGACGCCATGTTGTGACGTCATGACTTACGGGGTCAATGGGCAGAGTGGAATGTATTCCCCCTAGTAAAATATTTGGCGCTACAGCGGTTGGTGCACCACCTCACCTAGTATTGACTGCAAAAAAAAAAAAAAAAAAACTAACCGCGAGTTTTTTTGTTTTGTTTTTTTATAGAGGGTGGGGCATTTCCCGGAGTACTGCGCCTTGACCTGGCCCCCTCCCTCCCCTCTGGTCAGCTCTGTCACATGATCCCCGCAGCAGCGCGCGAGCTACACGCTGATAATCACCGGGTTTCGGAAGGGCGCGCCTGACAGCCGCTTCTTTCTTTGTCTGCTTGTTTTCAGTAGCAGTTCGAACTTCACTCGTCGTACCTGCTTCAATATGTCATCTAACCCTGCGGTCTTGTTAGGATGTCTCTTGACAACGTATTAGATGTGCATCAAAGCTATCAGTGTTCGAAAAGTCCTACGCGTATATCGGCAACAAGCGATTCTTCAAAGAAGTCAGGAATTCTACCGGTTTGGTTGGGTTCGGCAAATGACAGCTTGTGGCCGCATCGTGTTGAAACTTCAACGAGCCTTCCTTCTCGTTTTAGTGTTTCTGTGGTCCCCATGCTTTGACCGTGTCGACAAATATTTTGGATTACATCTTTCAAGACAGCTTTTATTATGGTAAGTGCACTGGAACCTACTTGTTGGCTACGATTGACCGTTCTTCAACGCGTACTTTTCCAGATTATCCATAGAAGTGTGCAGCGTCTAATCTCGCGGCAGCCGGGCGAATAATTTCCCCCAAAGTCTGCCATATAGTCTCAAATTACCCCGGCTGTGTTAAAGCTTAGAGTGCTTCTTCACATTTCACAGATCGCTTGCACGTTTGTACTTGTCTACGAAATAAGTTGTAATAAAATTCTAGGCGAATTGAAAACGATCTTTTGTTTCTGTTTTCCTGCCCATTCGCAAGCACCTGCGCGAGCACAATCATTTCCACGTGTTTCCTACATGTTAGAAATGGGTCTATGAGTTTCGGGACGTCTCAAATAAGTCTAAGAGAACCAACCTTCCAGACGATACCCATTTAGGGCTAGCGAATAATTTGCCTATCCGAATGGCGCGTTCAAAAGTGTGGTCACGCGCCTGGTTGAACGGGCACCTATATCAAAACTGGTACCGTTTCAAACGGGTACCGTATCCCATAATCACGCTTGATCCAAACGGATTGACAGGTTTGCCATCAATTTGATTCAAACGGGTCGACCAGTTTCCCACCCGTTTCAATTTCAAATGTTTTTTTTTAATAGGAACGGGAGGAGATTAGGAGGGGGGGGGAGGGTATGGATGAGGAGGAGGGGCATACCGTCCCCTCCGTCCTCTCCCCCCTCCTCGTCTTCAAGAGCTGCTTTCTAATTCGGCATTACAGGGAGTTGTAAACGTCTTTCATTTTATCCGCTCCATTTAGCTGGGAAATTTTTTAGCGAAAAGAGTAGAGGGGATTTTTTTTGTGCTACATTAAGCGGGGAAAATTTTTCTCTAAATTTCGCGGGGTAAATTTTTCCGCTGAATTTAGCAGGGAAATTTACCCATCATGGAACGTGCCGTGACGTGACGAGTGACCCTCATGACGTCACACGTGACGTCAGTCACGTGTGACGTCATTAATTTGGAAACTCCCATAATTAAACGCGCGGTTACACCGACGCCACTCAAGCCGTAAACTGACGCCTAAGAGCTGCGCTCTAATAAATCCCGTAAACACGGAACTCTTAGTCAAATTTCTGAGGCAGGGGGAGCCGATCGATGTAGATGGCCAGCGATGGTCCAAGCCGTCCAAAATCGAGCGGCACGTTTTATAACATCGAGTTATTCGTATAACACAAGTGTTTCTACTCTAAAGGATCAGTGTTCTCTCCCTCTACTCAAAAAACCGCCGTAAAATTGCTCTTCTGTGCCTCACCCATAAGCTCTACTATCACGTTAATAATACACTTTTTCTTGAGGCTCCTAACAGATCTTCCCATCGAACCACTAATAGCAAAAGTTTCAAGCACCTAACCGGTAAGACTAATGCGTTTATTAACTCCGCTGTCCCGCGAGGCATCCGCGATTGGAACGACCTTCCCAACACCATAGTCGACATTAGTGACACCGGCCTGTTCCGTGAGGCGATTTCTACATTGTTTTCATAGTTGGCTACCTCATTTTTATATTTTATTATATGTTTCTTATTTTGTTTTATTCTTTTAATATTATTTTTTTTTGTCGAGTGCTTACTTAGACGATATGTTGGTGATTTTTGACCTCATTTGTTTCTGTGTGGATTTTCCCTACTATTTTTATAGCGTGTACAAATGCATAATTGATGTGTTTTTTTGTTTGTTTTTTTCGCTTCGTGCGGTGTTTTGTATTTTTAATTTTATATTCCTTGCCCCCCTTTATGTAATCCCCATTGGGCCTTTAAGGGTTGAATAAATAAACATTTGTGGTTCCGCTGGTTATGTTGCGAGGTGGTAAATTTTTAGTGACGAGTGTTGCCACGTTTATTACAACAACAAAAAACAATGTATATAAAAACACACCTTCGACCAAAAGAAAAAAACGCAACATGTTTCGGGCCTCGTTCCAGAGCCGAATCTTCTAAGCTCTCTGGATCTGCTCAAACAGTAGACACGCGAGTGATCTCCCTTTCCTTTCTAGACAACACAGGCCCGCGTCTCAAGGTTGAAAGAAGTTGTTGCGCCAACACCATCGTTGTCGTGTTTGTCTGTTCGCCCATTACTGCGCACTCGGACGGCCTACGTGCAAAGACGTACGCAAACAGAAAACGGCCGTGTTTGAGCACAGATTCTGCGTGGGGGGCTCTACTCCCATTTCTCGTCCGGTGCGTGCCGTAAAAACTGCAAGCTGCATTACACATGAAAAACATAAGCCATCCGAAGGCGAGCGAACACGAGTGGCGTCGAAGAAAATACCCCCTCGGCAGACGCTTCTCCTTCCCTGACAGGCAAATAAACTACAAAACTACACAAGATAACCCACTAACTTAAAACCTCATTTCAAGCAAAGCGCGTTATGCGCTCCAGCAATATTTTCTTACCTGAAGGCCGCCAGTTGCATGGCCATGTGCACGTAGCCGTCCGGACTCATGTTGGACGACTGAATGAACTTTTTTCCATAGTTAGAAAATTGATAGATGAGCCTCTCAGTGTCGCCGGTATATCTGTAGTGTTAAGTAACACGATTAAAAATTATAGCATCCTAAATCTGTCACTGCATTTCAATTGCCCTATCGTTTTCTCTTTCCGAGAAACCCTTTCTGCGAACTGATGCTGAAACACAATTTTGCTCTAGTGCATTCAAACATAAAGAAGGTCAAATAAGGCCCAAGGGATGTAGAAAATTTAAATACATCTTCACATAAAGCAAATTTTATTCCCTTGGTACCTCACCGTATAACTACCAACTTCTTTCGGACTGCCGTATGCTCGTGACAAATCTGGCTCGAAAAAATAATTTTCCTCAAAATGTTGCGGCCGAAAGATCAAAGTTCCACAGGTAGAACTCCCGTCATATTGTTCGAAGTTATACTACAGAACGTTTAGCGTTTTTTTAAACTGTAAAACAAACTGGAAAGATCGGCGCCCGCATATATAAAGCTCAAACTTTCACCAAATGTGCACCTGGCTGGTGGATTTAATCTTGCAAAAAGTTAAGGCATATATTTTTTTTAGAAGGTAAGATAACCAATTTGCCAAAGTGAACCAAAGACGTGTTGTTAGACAACTTAATTAGAGATAGATAGGACCTTAGATGAACGTAACTTATGGCGCCACTTCCCGATAGCCACAGGTAGCAGAAAACAAAGTGCGTCGTCTGCTCGCTGCGCCTATGAAGAAAAGGCGACACAAGCTATATTAATTTGCCTGTCAAATCACAAGATATATTAATTTATTTCTGCTAAAAAAAATAACTACGCCTTTAAACTTCATAAGGTAAGATCCACTTCATAAATAGTTATTTGGTGAAACTTTGAGTTCTCCATGTGCAGGCGCCGATTTTTTCAGTTCGTTTAACAGCGTAAAAAAACGGCGCCACACTATGTGTCCGTTGGATGATGTTCAGTGATATTGACTTACGATAGTTCGTGTTAATTCCCCAATGTTTTGTTGAGATGGGCGATAGCAATGACTAACTCTCTAACTGCCAAAGAAAAATCAAAATGCTGAAAGGGCAACTGTGGCTATAATAGCGTGGCAGTCCCAGCGTGTGTTCCTAGTGGTCTCCGGCAGGTCAAAAACGGCAGCATCCATGAATAGCATGCATTCAGCATCCTGACCTTTGGTTGACTTTGCAGCTTCTCTACTGACCTTGCTTGGGATGATTTTGCCTTCTCTATATCGTCTAAGGTATCGGTTCCAAGAACAAATTCCAGCTTTTGGGGAGCAGCTTCCCCGTTGTCTTCAGATGCTTCAAAGCTTCCTGATTTCTTCCTGCAGTATCCACAACTTTTGCTAACGAAAGACGTGTAGCAAATATGCAAATAGTGATGACTGCATACGTGTTTATTTCTAAAAATGTATAAAAATGACTGAATGCTGAACCTTTTCAGCTTTCTTAGGAAGAAGAGACTTTGTTCGTTTATTATATTCTACTATATATTTGTCGATCCAAATGCCTTAAGCAAGCCTTACGTTTTCACAAATTCGTAAAGAGGCGAACAATTCCGTAAATAAAAAGAGCTATATTATCCTTAAACGTCGTCCGATAGTTTCATGTTTTGCCATGCTAAAAACAAAACATTAAATGCTGCCAGGACCAATCGCCTTGACTTCCCCTTCCTGCCTTTGTTTTCTCAGTAAAAACATAACAGTCCGTAGTCATGCTTCCTAGATTTCATAAAAATGTTGGCCGTCCAGCTATACGCAACAACATGAATGTCAAGCCCCTTAAGCGGCCAATAGTTACAGATTGTTTGTTGAAAGGGTAAACATAAGAGACGAGCGGCGGTCCAAGAGACTATAAGCAATTAGTTACTTTACTAAGCAACCGGAGAATAGACACCACTCTGTTCATGTGCATTAGACATTGAACGCAAGCCACCAGAAACTCCCCTAGCGGTGTGTACGGCCAAGGTATGAGAACGCATGCACCTCGCGCTGTCGTGCGCGCGAGGAAAAGTAACCCCTAGCGCACCGAGACACCGGGTTCGCGAATACAGCCAAGACGGCTGTCTTGGTTGGTACTCAGGTACTCGAGTCTTCACTGGTACGCGGCTAACAATGTAGCGCAATCACTGTGCGAAACTGTTACTGTGAACAGGATATCGGCGGATTTTGTGAGTGTTCCTCATGATTACTTCCCCGCTAGCTGCTACGTGTGATTGTGGTATTTTTATTCGAAGTGGCAAAGTGCACTAATTATTCGCCATTAAAAAGGTGTCGTGCTGTGTACACAGCACTGGAATTATATATGCCAGTGTCTCCTTTTTTTTCCATCGGCGCCACCCTCTTTGTTTATGTTAACGCCATGGCACGATAGAGGGGCTGCGCATTTTGCAAGGCTCAGTTTTTAATGCGAAAGCAATAACTGTCCCATGGAGCGAATTCGGCGTTGTCTGTAACCACCTGTAACAGACAAACGGCACCTACAAGCGGAATTCGCATTGGCTGCGAAGCATCATATCAGATGGTTCGCCACGGAAGCCGGCCGGGCGCTCAAGGTCAAAGCGGACGCGCCTCAGAAATAAAACACAAAGAAAAGCACAGCAACGCAGATGCATCGTCACGGAAGCCACGGAGCCGGCGGGTGCGCCGTGCCTGCGCAGTGGGGGAGTGTGGTGTCACCGCCGGCGACGTGTGAAAAAGAAAAACGTGACGAGCTGCTTGTAGGAATGCTTTCGCATTCCTACATGTAAACAGTCTTAAGTGTTTCTGCCGAGTGGTTTTGGAAACCTTCGCGCATATCATGGTGTAAGAACGTCATAAATTCATACTCATGTCACTCCAAACACAACACTGATGCCAAGAGTGTTGTAGAAAGCAAAAAATATTGTTTTATGCGCAGCCCCTCTTTTCACAAGAGCCTGCGTGTGATAATATTTCTCTTTTTTTTTTGCTGGGTGCTCGGATTTTGTACACTGGTCTATAGCGTCGAATCCTCCCCAAGCGGCGGCGAAAGGCGGTGCCGAGAAACAAACGAGCATCGCTGCGTCGTAGCGGTGAGGTGCAGACAACGCACGGACACACCGAATTCGCCAAGACAGCAGGGACGGCTGTGTACGCAGTTTCGGGTGGTTTCCATGACGATAGATGGTGGCAGTAACCCCAACCAATAGACCGATCTCACCAGCTAGTTTGAGTACGCCACCACTGCCGACATGCATCGTGGGAGCTGTAGTCTTTCTGCACGCGCGACAACCTTGCTGGAGGTCTGCGCGAGCAGAGCACGAGGTGGCATTAACTATCTCGTGAACTGGCGTCTGCCTCCTAGGAACTACTGTTATGGCGGCGTCACGCATGCGTGGAACGCTTGGTGGGATCGGTCTATTCAAAGTGGAAAACCCCGACGCCGCGCGTGTCCAGCCGCTCGAGCTGTGCAAAAGCAGGGGGGGCTAAGGCCATGGGATTTTCGTGGGACTAAATGTATACGCTCGCTAGTAACGTTTTTGGTCTTGTGATTACACTATAAGGCGGAGGTGGCAGTTTCGAAAGAGAATCTTAAGCTGACTAAAAATGGTGAGCAATTCCACTCTGTCAAGGTGATTGGCCACTGAAGCTGCAGAGCACAACCACAAATGTTTCATCATGAGACACACAAAAGCACTTCCCCAAATGTTTATATACAGTATATATACACCATTTTCAAGCGGTAGTGATGATTGCTTTTTGATCACTATGATACACACTAATGGGTTCCATTACAACTTTGGTGAGATTTTTTTTTACTAAATTTAAGTTTAGATATATATATATATATAGTGCTTGCCTTATATAAAATCTCCTGCTTTTATATATGTAATGCAGTTACGTCACCCGACTCGAGTGGGAAAATACCCATTGTTCTCTGATGTATCCTCCTTATCACACGTTTTGACGTCGTTCCCTATCAAAAAGCATATCGAGGTTACGGGGCGTATATGAATTTCCATAAAATGAACCCTTGTACATGCAATTTTGTTTTTTTCACACGGTTCCCGAAAATGCATGGAACCCTAGTCAAATAAAGCTTCGCTGTAATTGAGGCAGTATCATGGGTTTCATCATTTTTCCGGCTTTGATATTAGTTTCAGTTGCGGCCACCGGTCACGCGATAAATGTAGCCCTTGAGCCCATTAAATGTTCACTACTTTTATTTCTTTTCATAAAACGTCAAAGCGCAGTCGAAAGAAGACACACAACCACAAACCTACGAAACAAAAATGCAATGTCACGGCGCCTGACCTGCGTTTGGTTGGTTCAGCCGGTCACACTGTGCACATCGAAAGACGACGGGCGCTAGTACGTAGCGTTTTGACGCCCTTATTAACGTCACCGGCTTACGATTCAACCAACGTTACTAGAACCCTCAGTTGGAAAACTCACCGTTGAAACCTGGGCCGCTGGCGTCCACCGAGACCGAGCTAAATACGACAACAGCGCCACTCTTTATCATTAGTCTGTACTGTGGTCACCTTGAGTTTTTAGAAATCATGTTTTTGCATAAAAACCAACAAAAAAAACTATTTTTTAGTAACTTTTATTGGAGTTTAGTACAAAATGAGGGGCGCGTGTTGTTCTTTAGAATCTCTATTTTGCAAGGTTTTGCAGCACAATTATCATTGTTTTCATACAAACATGCCTTAGCGGTGATTTCAGGTAGCGAGTCCCAACCTAGGCGCATCTTAACTTCGGTAGTAATTCGCGGCGCGTCCGCTTGGAAAACGAGGGTGGCACCTCTGAATTCCTTTTCACCGTATCTGTTTCGGCACCGAAATGGCCGATTGAAGCCAAAATAGAAGTCACGTGAAGTTCCTTAAGTGGCCCCCTCGGGAGAGATGGCGGCGTTCCAGGAGGATGGCATCACGTGATTGTTTTGAAGCCTAGTCATAAAAAAAGTCGGCCCGGAAGTGCGCCGGTTGGCGGTGTACTATAACATTCTACCTCGTTCGGTGGGATTTACGAGTTACGGAGCCGCCGTAACTGACGGGCGGAATTAAGATGGCGAGTGGTCCTGTCTGCATCTATTCTCGTACCCCTGATGTTTCGGCGTTAAACTTTAAGCATGACGGACGGAGCCGACCGAGGAGCGACGCGGCGATGCCCGAGATCGTCGAGATGCGGAGTCCGCGAACCATCGTAGCGTGAAATCCGCGTGATAACGCAGAGCAGCGCTTGAGCAACAGTTCTGACGACGGAGAACGACATCAAAGGCGTAGTCTCTATCAAAGAGTCACCTTGCAAAGTGTTTGCGATCGCGGCGGTCGCGCTTAATTGTGTGGACGAATCGTGCTGGTGTCTCCTAACCGCGATGAGATTGTGTGGTGTACGAAATTAGAGTAATCGGTCCGAGCGGTTGAAGAAATCGCCCACTGGTGTTTTGTTTCCTCGGTAAGTGCGGTCACCTTTTGCTGATGAAACGCTTCATTGGTAAAGACATCTTTCGTTCACTAAATGACCACAAGCTAGAGAATGAACCTATGGAGAACCACGCCTATATGCGGTCTGTTGCACAGAAGTACCTGGACATCAGATAGCCAAGCATAAGCACGGTGTCCACAGATGAACCACACCAACAGAAAGTGAGGCGAAGGCACGCCGAACTCGCACAGTTCAAAGGCCACTAGCCATATATATATAAGCCATATTAAAAAGATTGCCATGTCTTCTGTCAACCTTGTAATTATTTTTTTCCGTCTGAAAGGCGTACCGTAACTATTTTATAAGTCAATCTTGTATTGTAAATCTATTGCTATGCGGTAGGTAAGTGTTATATATTGTTTTAATTATCGATGATTCTAGTGTAAATAAAACACGTGAATTAAGTCACTTCGAGACGACTGGAGCTAGTCTTTACTCGCGGTGACAAAATGGAGCTGCCTCAGCAAGGTAAGTTGATATCCCACGAGCACAGCAGGAGAGGCATAGGTTCACAATGATTCGTTTTCATTTCTGTGTTGGATCTTCCGAATTTTCGGGCGGACGCCTCGCATCGCTAAATCCTTTTTCGTTGCCGAAGACATCGCGATGACAACGTCTGCTCTTGTGCGTTTTCGCAAAAAAACAAACAAACAAACAAACAAAAAACTATATATATGTATATATATATATATTTTTTTTTTGAGCAGTTTGGGAGAGAGTACTAAAACGCACGGATGGACCGCTGCCGAAAATCGGCTTGCCCAAATGCGGCGTCTCAGCTGAGACAGACTTAAAAAAAAGCACTGTCAAGGTTGGAGCGCACGAGCGCGTAAGACTCGATTTAAGATTGAGCGTTACCTTAGACAGCGCTTTTTTGAGACAGTCTCTGCTGAGACGCTGCTTCGAGCGAGCCGCTCGACCTACATCACGAAGCCTCCTAGAGGTTCACCAACGACGTATGTGAACCGCGAAGAAGTGGTTTAGGTCTGAAATTCCATAGTTCATGCACCATTCGTAGCGGTCGAGAATTACAAGGCAAAAGAACAACAAGCAGACGCTACAAATACATCACCCACCGCCTCAGCACTCATTGCCTACTCCGTAAATACAAGGCAAAAGACAAGCAGACGCTACAAATCCGACACCCACCGCCCCCGCGCCTCACTGCCTACTCCGTAAATACAAGGCAAAAGACAAGCAGACGCTACAAATCCGACACCTACCGCCTCCGCACTCACTGCCTATTCCGTAAATACAAGGCAAAAGAAAGACAAGCGGGCACTACAAGTACGACACCCATCGCCTCCGCGCTCACTGCCTACTCCGTAAATTGAACATACTACAGCTCACTATAATAGCGCCTCTACTAGAACCTACAAGAAAAAGTTACGTGGCGTAGCCGACTCGTCCCGAGATGCATACCGCTTCCGGATTTAATGTGAGGAGGGTAGGGGGAGAGGCGGCTCCAGAAGAAGTTGCCCGGCGGAGGCTAGGCTCGTGACGTCATGCCATCCCCTTGCGGCTTTGTGATCGCCATTAGCTCGGTTCGCGAGAACGGATCGCTGCCACTTTTTCAGAGTAGTCTCTTCAGCTGTTTCCCAACTGAGTGGTTCTAGTAAGGGTAGATTCAAGTAAGCAAATAGGCCTTTCTAGCGCTCAACACCCGCGCGAAAAATGCTAAGTCACTGACCTGTCCACGCATGCCCAGCGTCTGGTATACCGCACAACGAATTAACAGCGCATGTTCAGAATGCTTTCCACAGCTCAGCAGACGGACGCGCGGAGGAGGCGATTGTTTGGGAAGGTCTATTTTGGGTTTCCCCTTTAGTCCGAGTTCAGCCCATTCTACTGAAAAAATGGGGCAGTAATGGAAGTTCAAACCACAGCGTCCCCGCCGCCGTAAATCTTATGTACGCGTACCGTGGTAAGAAAAACAAATGAAACGCAGTTAGCGCTCCGCCACATTGCTGTCTCAGTATATGCTCTTTTAAACAAACGCCAGATTACACCCGCCATTGCTGGCCTTCTCTCGTCTCACCGAGATACTGCGACACTGGGCGCCACCATAACCGACCTTCAGTTTTTGTTTCCTGTTGTTTCGATAACCTTGCTTCATCATTACAGAGCAGGACAGGTTATTGCAATTTCAGATTCGACTGTATTCTTGTACCCAGCATTGGCCTTTGTGGAGGCTCCTCAAAGCCCGCTTCAGTGGCTTGGCATCTCGGTAAAACAAGAGATGGTCAGCGATGGCGGCTGTAATCTGGTACGTGTTCAAAGCGTCTGTATTCCCGCGTCCTCCTGGTTTGCCCATTATTTCTTGTTTCGGACATTAGGCTCAGCGATGTCACCAAAGTAATAGATTATGTTTGAACAATGCAAGCGCCAGTTCCAAGCATACCTAATATTTCTTGCTGCAGTCGCTAGATTGCGCGAAACCAAACAGCATTGCAGGTCTCGTATATAGTAACATTCGTTTCCAGAAATTACGACACGCTTGGCAAGAGCGCGTAGTTACTCCATCGGCGAAAAACTGAAATTAATTATTGTATATTTGATTAGAAGGATGGCTTCAGATTAGGTGCGATTTGTTACAATGAAAGGTCATACATAAATGAAAAAAGAAACAAAAAAAACACTCAATTTCCGTTGAATTCACTCACGCGTAGTCGTAGCAGTGATTCGTGACTCGAGCCATCGCGGTGCCGTCGAAGGCTGTGTGATCGTACAGAAGTGCCGACCCTCCGTCTTCCCCGACAATCACCTGGATCGAGCAATGAAAAAAACCGTAAAAACTATTGCTGAGCTTTGTTTCACAGAGCAAAGTGTTCCTATGCGACGTGAGTTGCACTGACTATAGAGACTTTCCTAAATTTAGTCTCGCTAGTTCGACAACAATAATCTAATACCCTCGTTACACGGGGTCTGTTAGCTGTGATTAAGCCAGCGACACTTAAATCAAACGCGACCGGTCGGAGTTACACGACGGATCCAACTGTCATTAAGCCGCTAACGATAGTTGGGTTCGACTGGGCTGGCGTACCTCAGTTAACTGATGAGATGGCAACGTCTGCCGTATTGCCGCCAATGGCCAGAGCCCGGGAAGCACTTGCTGTTGCGAAAGATTGGAAAAAGTAGCGAGAAAACTTCGTAAAAACAATTTATTTTAGAAAGAGGTGTGATTTGGGGCAAGAGCTGCCGCTAAAACGACCACGGCACGTCTCGGAAGCCCACGCTCGCCGAGCGCAACCATCGTGGTGTCGGTGCTGATGTGACTTTCCTTAATCTCCCTTGCTTAAAATCGCGAGAAAACTTTTCATTATCCTTTCGTTACTCTAAACACTGGAACAAAATAATTTTTATTTGTTTTAAACGATTGTAAGGAATAAAAAGTGTGCAAAGAATTCATTTGCGTCACTTTTGAAATTAAGGTAATTTGACATCAGTTTTGGTTATGTTTCGGTTTCAACTGGGATCGACAGTTGGGGTTGTTAGGCCTATGTACCGTATAACGCCGGACAAATTAATCGCGCTTAATGAGAGTTGGAAGATGCCAACGATTTCTGGCTTAATGATGGTTGAGAGCGCTCGTGTAACAGAGGTATAAGTGTGTATAAAATGTATACGCTAATGGCGGCCTTTACGTGGCTGGTGAATGAAAAATTTGAAGACAGGCACCGTGCGGAGCTTGAGCATTCTAGACGTTAATTGACCAATCTTACTAAGCGTTCTACGCATGCGTGACGCTACCATAGCTGTAGTTATGTAGTTCACAGGAGGGAGGCGATAGTCACATGAGACAGTCCGTGCCTTCTCGAACTTTGCACGTGCTCTTGGCGCGGCCTGTGTTATGTCGACACTTTGTTTTCGACGATTTCTTCGTATTTTTTCTGTGAGCGGGTGCTGGCGGCATCGGGTACTACCATAGCCTCCTCTATATTAACTCAGTACAGTGGAAGCTATGGTAGTAGCTTCCACCATACTGAGTGAGTAAAGTGGAGTCACTAAAGTCACTAGATCACTGGATCCTGGGAAAGTAGCGCCCCAGCTCCCAGTGTGGTCCCCGTTTTGGTCTGTAAAATGAGCAATTTTTTCTTGACCCCTCCTTTCTTGGAGAGCCGATCTAAATTCGCTGATGACGAGCAGCTTTATGAAGTCGTTTCTTGTATACCCGATTTTTGCTACCCACACACCGGCGAAAGAAGAGTGCATCTTCGTATCATCACCACATGTCTCACCATAATGCTTCAGTAACCATCATGATTGATACATCGATTGGGGACACAAGAACTGTCTTCAGCAGTACATGAATAACAGCTCGCAACCCTTGTCACCTTTTTCGAGAAAGTTTTTACCTTGCGAGAGGAAAGACGAAATACAACGAGTTTCCAAGAAGCAAGAACCATGTTTTTCGGCTCGGGTAAGTAAACTGTGTATCGCAGAAAGCTCAAACTCCGTGAGAATATGACGTTGGCGGTTGGCATATAACGCGAAACGGGCAAAAAACTGTTAGCGATTTACCTCGCCACAAAACGTTCTCGTCATTTCATAGAAGGTCGCGAGTTCTAAGTAAATACTGACCACAAACCTTTTTACATTTGCTTTAACATTCGCAAAAGATAATCACTCTCCTTGCTGAATTGGTCATTTGGCTTTCATGATAGAGCAGGACAAAAAAACAGACTTGTACACGTTACTGAAAAAAAGTAACTGATTACAATTACAATTAATACAGTCAAAAAAGTAACCGATTACCGTTACTGATTACTGCCTCCCAGAAGTAATTGAACAATTACTGCAAAGTAATTGATTACTTTTCAAGTTACTTTCACGTTACTTCTTATTGCGATGACAGAAATACACAAATACACAGTAAAATATTGCGTACACAATTTTGTTTGGTTATTGTTCCCTTTTTTGTTTTCAGACCCGGACCTTGTCGTGTAGCTGACGCGTCGACCTAAGGAACAAAGCCCACTAAAAAGTCAATAGCGAGTTCCCGCTTCCCGTCGACTTTATCAGCAATCTGCAACGAGATCCGGAACTCCCCAGCCAAGGCTGGTGGCGCGCTTGTAGAAGAGCGTGGCGTAAAAGAAAAAAGGATCTGCCGACTAATCCTAGTTTTATTTTTTTTAGATGTTAAAAAAATGGCAATCATTTTTGCTCCATGGCTGAGTGACTATGCTGATTTTTGTGAGAAAAAAGAATTGTGGGATGAAAAATGTAATTGATAATTGTGTAATTGATTTTGTAATTGATTACAGAAAAAAGTAATTGAATTACTCCGAGCGTTACAGCTTGACAAATGTAATTGAAGCGCTACAAAATTACACTTAACTGTAATTGATTACAAGTAATCAATTACTTGTAACGCGTTACGTACAAGTCTGCAAAAAAAGAAGCGTGTAACCCAAGCTCCGCGGACCTGTGTTCGCGCTCCTTATTTTGTCCTGCTCTATTTATTCCTGGAGGCACGCTACATTTAAGCTATTTCCCTAAGTTCACAACAATCTTAGAGTCTCAAGAGGACAGTAGGGCTCAGTTATAAGTAGCTTCCTTGCTTTCCGTTTTTTCTTTTTTTCATATTCGAGGGCGGTTCTTCGGCGTTTTTTCCTTTTGTAATCAGTATTTTCGTAGTTTATTTTCAGTGCCAGGCAAGTGACAGGAGTGAACCTGGAAATCTATAAAACAACTGCAGATCTCTACATTTGTGCCACCAAACCACCCCCTCTCCCCCCTCCCCCCCCCCCCCTCCCCCGCCCCCCACCACCACCGGTGTCCTTTTTTCTTCCGGTTCACTGAACTTACGCCCGTGACCCAAACACTGGAAGAACGTCATCTTGGTGCCGAGAACAGAAGTCAGTGGGCGTGGTTCCCAAGGAAACAAGCAACCTCAAGGACTGTTTATATGGGTTGTGTTCAGGTTCACAAAAATAAGTCGTATATAAAAAAAGATAAAAAAAATTTTTGTTTGCAGCATTTTCTGCTGCATTAATTTTGTGAAGTGGTCGTATTTACTGTCTAGCAAATTTATAAAAGTACGTGCGCACCTTAACTGGAAAATTATTTTTATAGCAAAAAGCAAGTTCTTCTTGCATTTCACGTTAAGGTTTTTATATCTTTCCCTACCTTTCCTAGCGTTAAATTATTCACTGATAATTCTGGATACGTCTCTAAACACTATATGTTCTGTGCTGCATATTTGAGACGTGTAAAGTGTTTGTTCTCTGTTTGGAATGTGCCTACAGCAATGGTGGAATGTGCCTACAGCAATGGCTCTTCAGTTCTGGCATGGGCTAAGAAATAAAATAACTATCCATCAAATAAACCACCGTAAAGGGCGGTTAAAGCGAACAGTCTTCTTGAATAACGAGTGTCGGCCAAAGAAAGGCTCATGTCGGTACTATCGTTGACACCTCTGGCTAAAACATCGGCAGGAGCTTTGGCGTCAGCTGCTTCGCGCGTAACATGCGGCCAAGTGGCGGTGTGGTCGCCTACTGGAGAGGCATGGTGGCCGCCCTGCCCTTGCACGGCGCACTCCCAGTCCCGCGCATCCGCGGTGCAGAAAATAGCGAATGGCCATTGGTTGCGTGCTATTGCCAGTTGTGTCCACTCTAGTGCTTCGTGCCAATGAATTTTACCAAGCATTGCTGCGCACAACCGGCATTTATTCTAGAAGGTGTGTGTGCAGATAACAACTCGTCATGTTACTCACCTGAACCGGCTTGTCCCACCATCGATTGGCTGCATGTTCGGCGTTCGGGCCACCCCTGCATACCTGCCGGGGCCAGGCCACTTCGTAGGGCTCCGCGTCTGCCACCCCGCCGTCTATACAGACCACGAGGGCAGCCCGCTTGATCGCTTCCAGAGACTTCGCATTCTGAGCGTCTGCGCCCAAATGATCGGAAGAATGAATGTGTCAATCTGTGTTGTACGTTTTGGGTTCCGCTTTGCGATTTGTCGGGTCTATTCCGCTTTGAAATGAGAAGTCTACCACGTTATTCTGCACCGTCAGGTGCTTTGATCATGAGGAGCACTGCACTCTGATCACGTACGGGCACTTTTTCAGTGTATTTAAAGAGTGCAGGCGACGTCACAGCAAAACGCTTTTAAAGGTGCCCTGAAACGATTTTCGCTTGGAATGTGTTTCAATATACATGAGCTTACTAACATCAGTGGTACCGAAGTACACTCGCACGCAATAACACAGATCACTTCTTTCTGGTGCAATAATTTTAAGGAGAAATCAAATATTTACTAGGGAAATACAAGACACTTCCTCATAACACATCGAAAAGGTCGACAACGAATATTTGCGGAAACACGCGTGACGGAGGCTGCGGTGACGTCTGGAATTCCGCAACCCCGACAACCGCACCGCGTTCCGAGGCGTCGCCTTCGCCTGCTCTGGTGGCGAAAGAGGAATGGTGGGGGAGAGAGGTGTTGGCAAATAAACCACTCTACCGGGGGCGCTTTATGGCGCGGCAGTTGCTCTATCTAACGTCCTTGAGGAGAGTGTCGTGTATTCCCATAGTAAAGTAGAGAAAAAGTGACTGTTTACTTTCAATCTCTCCTGCGCAAAACTTAATGACGTAGCTGGAGGGTCGCAGTACCACCCAGTGCCAATATTTGAATGCGCCTAAAAAATTAAACCCGAGCATTGTTTGAGCACTGTGAGCACCAGGATTTGTGAGTATATTGGAGGCTATGGTTTTGCCCAGCTCGTTCCAATCTTAAAGGTGAAGCTTAAACGTCCTCCAAATTCTTCCTTTGATTCTTTTTTCTGCGAAAACCATTCCATATAGAAAAAAAAGCAATGTACCTTTGATACACCATAATTGTCATGGAAAAACTCTAAAATATATTTATCAAAACCAGAAAAACTTTTGCGTCACCTCTTTAAGTTCAAGCTGACCCTATGCTACCATCCTAATAAATAAATAAATACTGAAGCTTTTTTTTTCACAAATCTTTTTTTTTTCTTCAAAAATGCCGTAAAAGCAGCGCCAATGTGGTCTTCTAGAGTAGATAATCCGTGGAGGTGGACATTAGAAAGGCGAATAAACATCACATAAGTTAAATAAATTATTAAAATTGTTAACTAACTTCTTTTATTCGGTAATGGGTCATGTTGCAATTACCGTGTTGGTGGCAAGGACCATTAGGGGCGGAATTCATTTAAAGATTTCAAGAAAATACAGAAGATTTGGAGATATATATATCGATCCGCTTTCGCGTTTTGTTGCCAAAGCCAACACAAAAGGAATATATCGCAAATTGCCCTGCGATTGTTCTACGTGAAATGTTCATGGTTTAGCGCTAGCAACCTCCAGGCGTTTCTTCTTAGCTGTGCCTCCCATATCTTTCCACTCCACACCATTGACTCATTGACCCATTCACTTGCCCCGTCGGGTGGTTTCATGTCCACGGAGTATGACAAATGACAGGCTGCGGCTGGCCACGTGTCAGTTTTCCCGCTAAACTTGGACGTAAAACTGAATTTGTGCGTAAGTGACGTGATATCATTGTCGCCACTAAATTAAGCGGAAATATTATGCAGCGGCTAAAGTGTTCTATCGTGGCCGAGATACAGAGAACAGACTCATGTCGGAGCGAATCAACAAGAAGATTTATTCGTTACGTACTCTCTTTATATAGTCGCCGCTATCAGGGCGATGACGTCATGTTGCTGACGTCTGGGTAGCGTGTTTATCAATACATGACACTCTTCCCTCCTCAACAAAACAAAGGTTTGCAAATTAATCTAGGCTACTTGGCCTTCGCTCTGTAATCATCGGCTTGGTACTTGTCGGGAGGTCGCCGGGTGCGGTTGCTTCGCCGCGGTGCCGGTGCTTCACCTTGAACCCTTCCGGCGGTGGCGGCGTTTCCTGCAGCGGTTTCCTGAGCCCCATCGGAGTCTGCAACGCCTTGAAATAAGGTTGCTGGTGATAGGGCACGGTCGTGCAGCTCTTCAACTGCAGAACTGGCCTCTGTTGGCTGGCTGTTCTTCCAAGGGTTGCGTTGATCATCGGGTCGGTTGTCCGTGATCGCTGTAACGTGTTGACTTGGTGTAAAATGTGGTCTCGGTGCAATACACCATCGTTTCCGCAAGTGGCCAGCATGGGTGAATCGCACGTTGTCTTTTACTCAGACGAGGTACGTAGCGGGGCTGACGACTTGTTCGACGATTCCCTCCTGCCATGATTCGGCTTCGCATCGCGTTGTTTTGACGTAAACCTTCTCATTGACGCAGAAGAACTCCGCTGGCCCTCTTTGCTGGTTGAGTTGGTCGGCGCTCCTTTGTTGACGGTCTGCCATGTCACCTGCAAAGCATGGCGTGAGCAGAGAACTTTATGCGAGGCACTCGCTTTAGGAAGAGCTCCGCTGGAGTTTTTGCCGTCACTGAGTTTGGCATGCACGTGTACGACAACAAGAAATCGTTAAGGCGCTTTTGTGTTGTGCGCTTCACTCCTGCTGAGTTGTCGCAAAAAACTTGCTTGAGCAGCGCTGTCTTCGTGGTTCGCACCAGTCTTTCAGTGGCTCCGTTCGATGCAGCGTGGTAGGGAGGTGTCCTCGTATTCCTGATACCACGGTTTTGCAGGAACTTTTGAAACTCGTCCGAGGTAAACTGTGGGGCGCTGTCAGTTACAAGTTCCTCCGGATAGCCGTAGGCTGCGAAGAGTATGTGTAATTTCTGGGCTGTCTGCGCACTTGTCGTTTTACTCATGCAAAAGACTCCGATTCACTTAGAGTAAGCGTCGACCAGCACGAGCAGGTTAACTCCATCTTTGACTGCGTAGTCGGCGTGAACGCGTTGCCACATTCTGGTCGGATAGGGCCACGGCTGCAGTAAACCGGGAGTTTTCGCTGGGAGGACGCTTTGGCAAATAAGACAAAAGCGAACCGTGTCTTCCATTTCCTTGTCGAGAAGAGGCCACCAATCGTAAGACCGGGCTAACATTTTCATCCGAGTCATAACTGGGTGGGTTTCATGTAGTAGAGTGAGCACGTGTGCTTGCAAGGTCTTGGGAATGACGACCCTATGTCCCCAAGTCAAACATCCTCCTTCCACTGACAGCTCGTTCCTACGCACAAAGAAGGCTTGCATTTCTTCGGGATACTTTCTTGGCCACCCCGAGGGCGTGTAGTTGATAACTGCCGTGAGGACCAAACCACGCTTTGTTTCTCACGCCACTTGTTGGGCGGTGAGCGGCATTGCGTCGAAAACAGCTAGACATTCTGGATCGTCATCCTTGTCTTTCGCCGCTAGTGGCAGCCGTGATAACGCATCCGCAACTTGCATGTTGTGGCCGTTCCGGAACTTGATCTTGTACTGATATGCGGAAAGTGTTACAGCCCATCTTTGAATTCTTGCGGCTGCTTGTGTTGGAATTGGTTTACCCTGTCCTAGAATGCCAACCAGAGGTTGGTGATCAGTGTACAGACTGGTCTATATAAATACCGGAAAAATATTTTCAGACCAAAAATAATAGCAAGCGCTTCCTTCTCTCCTTGCGTATAGCTACGTTCACTGTTTGTGAGAGTGCGCGAGGTAAACGCTATAGGCCTTTCACTTCCGTGCTGCATTTCATGAAAAAATCACAGCTCCCAGATGGTACGCAGATGAATCACAGCTGAGACCGATGGGCTTGGTCGCGTCAAAGAATGTGAGCGCATCGCTGTTGACGACCATGTCTTTCGTGGCTTCGAAAGCTTTCCTGCACTGTTTTGACCAGTGCCATTTTTGCTTTTCCTTCAACAGTGAGTAAAGGGGCTCGACCACCGTTGCAAAATTTTTTAAGAACTTGGCTTAGAAGTTCAGAAGTCCCAGATAGGCTCTCAGTTCTGTGATGTTTGTTGGCTCGGGTGCGTCTCGGATTGGCTTGATATTTGTCGATGTCGGGTAGATGCCTTTGGCCGAAACCTTGTGACCCAAGTAAACAAGTGAGTCGCGAAAGAATTCACATTTTTCTTGCTTGAGCGTGATGTTATAGTCTTTTAGCCGTCGCAAAACGTTTGTGACTGTGTTGTAGCAGTCTTACTTGCTACTGCCCGTGACGATCAGTGTTTCCAACTAAAAAATTGAAAACCCGCTGTCGGAATCCCGAAAACCGCTAAAAAACCGCTAAATCCAAAACACAACGAAAAACGGCTTTTTCAACTTTTTTTTTTTGCTCTAGTTTTTGACAAAGGTATAATAACAATGTAGATCATATCAATGATATCTGCAAGGAAGCTTTCCTTTTGTTTTGGCTACAAATCTGTCACGCCACGCCACAGTTCACCCAGGTGATCCGAAGCCAAAATTGCAGAGTGAGCGCATACGAACATGGCAAGGGACCCTTCAGCAGTGAGTGACTAGTTAGACCCGTTCAACTTGTAGAGTCGTCTGCTACCAGAGGAGAAAGGCGCAGTGGCCGAAACATGCTTCTTCGTTGCAGCGTGCATGACCAAATCCACATTCTTCGCAGACAGTTCCGTTTTGAAATAGCGGCACCTGGCTCGTCTGCTATCACCAGGAACCTCCAGTAGCCAGTCTTTAAGGTAGGGGTCTTATAGCCAGTCTTTTCTAAATTTTTGAGCGTACTTCACCGAGCCCATTTCACGAAACAGTGACAAAAACGTCAAAGGAAAATTGAAACATTCATGCTGTTCAGACGTTCGCGCACAAAACGGGGAGGCATGATCGATGTTCGACGTCTTAGTGTTTTGATGACGTCACAGGCGTTACTCTCACAAACCAGAACATTACTGAGAGTCAGCGAAGACGACTGTGGCCAAGTGTGGCTTATTATTATGGATATGAAAGACGCATAGTCCACAGTAAATCGATATAAAGCTTCTATATCTCTAAAAAACCTCCAAGATTACATAAAACCGGCTAAAAATCCCGCCGCCCGCAAAACAATAATTTATCCCGCTAAACCGAAGCAAAAACTGCTAAGTTTAGCGGGAAAACCGCTAAATTGGCAACACTGGTGACGAATACGTCGTCTATGTAGCATCCTACGTTAGAGATGCCTTCTAGGACCTTGTCCATCAGCGCCTGGAAGATTGCGGGTGCACTGGAGATTCCAAACGGAAGTCTCTGATATTCAAAGAGTCCCAAGTGCGTGTTAATCGTGAGCAGGGGCTCGGCTTCTGCACTTAGTGGCACCTACTGGAAAGCGGAGGACAAGTCCAAGACGCAAAAGACCTTGCCACCAGCAAGCATGGGGTAGAGGTCTTCCGGCAGCGGTACCGGGTAGCAGTCAGTCTTTAGTACTTGGTTTATGGTCACCTCATAGTCTCCGCAGAGCCTCATTCCTCCGCCGCGCTTGGGAACGACGACTACAGAAGTCGCCCAGTCACTGCGGGTCACTCGTTTCACGATGCCGTCGTTTTTTAACCTGCTTAGCTCTGCCGCAACGGCTTCTTTGGTGGCGAATGATATAGGCCTCGCTTTGCAGTACACTGGTGTGCTGTTCGCTTTTAGGACGACCTTTGCCTCGTAGTTGGACACAACTCGAGGTGTGCTACGGAAGACTTCTGGAAACTTCTCCTCTAAAGACTTGACTTTGTCTTCCTCTGTTTTCGCACAGACGGCCTTCCAATCAAGTTGCAACTCTTCTAACCAGTCGCGACCTAGTAGTGCGGATAGAGTTCTTTGGTTATCTTCTACCACGAAAAGAGGAAGCGTTGCGCTGCGTCCGTTGTGCTCTACGTTGACATGTCTTTTTACCTTCAAGGGTTCTCCAGTGTATGTTCTCAAGGAAACCTTTGTTGGTTTGCATGCGACTTCCGCGAAGTTCGCCTCGTAGACGCTTTCAGGAATCAGCGTAACTTCTGCGCCCGTGTCCAGCAACATAGAGATCGGCTTCCCTTCAATGTTTACGGGAACCTTGTACCCACGCTTGTCGCTTGCTGCACAAAGCACGACGTGATAAACTTGCGATGTTTCGGAGTCATCGTCTGACGTATCAACATAGTTTATCGGACGCCGGTTCTTCTCTTGGCACATTGCTTCCAAATGTGCTGTCTTTGCGCACGCACGGCATTTCGTATTTCGATACCAGCATCGGTCAGGCGCGTGTCCTTTCCCACAGCGATAACAACCACGATTCGTCTTTGATGCGCCTTCCTTCTTTAATCGTGACGTGTGCGTTTCCCGCTTGTTTTCTTTTTCTTTGTTCTTTGATCGTGACGCGTGCGTTTTCCGCATGTGCTGCCGCTGATAACGTTAACTTCGGTTGGTCTCGCTTCTACTTTAAGCAGCTCGCTGGTTTGCTGTGATGCGAGTTCCTTTTCAATAGGTATTTCAGATGCGCCTTCAAAAGTCAGACCCTCCGTAGCAAACGATATTCTCTGGGTCTCTTCATCGCGTAAGCCTGCTACCAGGCGGTCTCTCAAAGCTTCATTCAGAAATTCCTTGAATTCACAGTTCCGTGCTAGGTGCTTCAATTCTGTCATAAAATCCTTCACGCTTTCACCTTCTTGTTGCATTCCCCTGTTGAATTTGCAGCGTTCGGCAATTACGGAATACTCCGGACTGAAGTGGTCTTCTGGCAACTCCCGCACTTGCTCGAAAGTTTTGTCGGTGGGCTTCTGTGGAACTAGAATTTTCTTGAGCTCCTCGTAAGCCTGACCACCCACCACGTTCAAGAACAACTTCAGCTTTTTCGCCGCGGGTACTTCGTTTATGTCAACAGAATTTCCAAGCCTCTCGAAGTACGACCTAATGTTGTCGCTCCTTGGGTTGAACTCAGCCATGCCTCCTAGGCGTTGCTGAGGATGAGGCGTTGACATAATGTCGGTCGAAATAGTGCACTTATCTGTTCCGTTCATCTTGCCCTCTCCGTCCTCCGTCGTTTCCGTCACGCTTGCTCCTCGCTTCCGCGATGCTGCGTTGCTATTTGACTGGCCGTTGGGCCGAGCTGCCGCGGATGCCGATGCCTCCGTGAAATACCATCTTCGTTGCCAGTTGTTCTATCGTGGCCGAGATACAGAGAGCAGACTCATGTCGGAGCGAATCGAACAAGAAGAAGATTTATTCGTTACGTACTGTCTTTACGTAGTCGCCGCTATCAGGGCGATGACGTCATGTTGCTGACCACAGGGTAGCGTGTTTATCAATACATGACATAAAGTCCATCATGTAAATTGATCTATGTTCCGATAGTGACTGAGTTTTAAACCGCCTGGGCGGCATAACGCGTCCAATCATAAATTAATAAGTTAATACACCAAAAATGTTGGTAATATTAAGACGAAAGTTTTATATGTCTCATCGATCAGTCAACTTTCAAAGTTCTTAAGAAAAAACATGTCGGCGACACGGATGGTACCAAAACCTTTACGTGACCCCTGAGGGGAATAGGAGGCAATGCAATTAAAAAGGATGACAAAGCGAATTAAGAGGGATCGAAGTGAATTAAGAGGAATCAATGTCAATTAAGATGAATTAAAGTGAATTAAAAGGAATTAAAAAACAAGTTAGAGTAATCAAAGCGAATTAAGAAGGACGACAAAGCTAATTAAGATGAATTGAAGTGAATTAAGAGGAATTACTGTGAATTAAAAGGAATTAAAGTGAATTAAGTAGATGACTAACTGAATTAAGTGAATGACTAAGGGCCGGTTGCACCAACGTCGCTTAGCGCAAAGCGGAGCTTAGCCGGGAAGTTAAGCTTAGTTTTGGTTTCGTTCGGTTGCACCAAACTCGCTTATCGCTAAACCTAGCACTAAACTGCGCTTAACTTGAGCGCTCAACATTGGGCGCTTTGCTTTTGGTTGTTTCTTAATCCTGGATTAAAAACATGGCGGCTGGTTTGTCGCGGTCGACGCGGTGGACGAAATCGGTTGTGCGAAGTGTATTAGGCTACATCAGCGTGAAAGTCTCGACAAAATGACCTTCGATTGTGACAAGGGTGCAAAATATTGTCGCGTGAAGTGTTTATCGACCCCTGTTTTCAAGTTGGCTCTCCACTCTCAGGGCGTGTTAGCCCTAACCGAGATACGTACGGAGCTGTGGGTCTGTGGGGCTCACGGGGCTCACGTCTGTCTTCCCGTTGGTTCTTCTGTCAACGAGCTTATTCGTATGTACTTACTAATTTTCGCATAACCGTAACGTATTGTTATTCACCACCTTGTTTATTTACACTTGCAGCGCGTATCGTTCACTTCGATCAGCGCCTTTGAATAGTGGCAGTACATAATCTCGGCGATCAGCTGATTGTCGACACCTCTGCCGTTCGCATTAGATTGCGGCGCTTTTAAGTAATAAAACAATGAAAATTCAATTTCTTTCGTTTTCTGAGTTTTGAGACAATCTTCAGTGAATTTTTCTTATCTCGCGAGTAGAATCTTGGCTTCAGAAAACTACATCGTTCCATAACCGTAACTTTTTTGGTGATCGCGATTTGTAGGGATATTTTGCTTTATATCTATCATTCGTGGCGACGACAAATCGTAACGACTACTATGCTAGATTTGTTCATTGCTGTATCGGGGCAGGCTGGGGCAGGCGATGCGAAGAGACGACTGTTCTTATCGGCACGATGTGATGTACTAGTGGGAGTTTTTATTATTTTTTTTTTTCTGAACTCGACAGTGTGAAACTGAAGTCCGTTTGAGGCTGCAGCGGATGTTCAACGGCGGTACAGTGCAGTTCTGTCACCTTGCTGATAGCAACGAGTACCGCCGATGCAAGGTCTCGTGACCTGACCTCTCGACGACTTCTGTTCGACGATTTCCGGGCATTTTCGCAGCTGCCGTGGCGAGTTCGTCACTGTTTTGAACTTCATCGTTCTCAGGCTTGACTTGATTTTAGTAGTCATCTTACCTGCCTACTTATATCAATGATGTTTTGTCTTCAGCGATGTAGCGAGTAGAGTCCCCAATGGGTCCTTCACCTCAAAAGGTGAGCACGAAAACTACTACCACTGTCAAAATATCCTGTCATCAACCGATATTAAACACACAATCACAGATGTAAAGAGCATTCGAGTTTATTTGAAGCTTTGACTTCTGTTATTGAAAGTTAAACGAAAAAATGACTGAATTAGGAGACCTTTAATTTGTTACTCACCGAAAAGCAGACGCCGACGACTACTACAGCAGTTTTTTTTTTTTTTTTTTTTTTTTACATTACGTGATTTCTTTTCGCCAATCGTATTCGTTTCTCTGAGCGTTCCTTAGTTCGCTCTGTTTGTCCCTAGATTCCCTACGTAAATCCAGCGTTTAGCTAGGGGCGCGTCTGTAAAGCCGGCTTAACGTTGGTGAAACCGGAATTTAAACTTGTGCTTACCTGAGCTCGGTTTAGGGCGCTAAGCCGGCTTAGGAAAGTGCCGCTTTGGGTTAAGGTAAGCGGCGTTGGTGCGACCGGCCCTAAGCAAATCAAGATGATGACTCAGCACATTGAGAGGGATGACTCAGCACGTTGAGAGGGGTGTATGTCTTTAATGTATCGGCGCTTGGGTTTTCGCCTTCAAGTCGTTTTGCGGGTAACATAAGAAACCCCCTGAATTTTTGTTGGGTTCTTGTTTGTGTAGCTGGGTTGTGTTTGCAACATATGTAAACATTATCATCGCCACCAAATGATCTGTACTTCATTTTGTCTTTGTTGATGAACATACAGTCTGATTTGGAACGTTGACTGGACTGGTCCTGTCCTTTTTCTCTGCCATGTCCTTGAGGACACCACATTTTTTTGTTTTGGCAATGAGGATGAGATGAATAACCTCGATCTAATTTCTCCGTGACCTCACAGGTAACATACATATACCCTGTTAGTGTAGCCTTCATGGCACTGTTTTAGAAGCATTTTTAAAAAATAAGCGTTTTTTTTGGTATCTATACACAAAGAAAACTTAAGCTTGCATCGATCATTTTGACAAATGCGGTGTGCGCGCGTATTGTGCGTGCGTTATGATTTCTGACGCTCGGTTACAGGGTGCTTTGGGTGGCTTCGGATGCGTTGCACGGAATGTACACTCATGTGCTCTTCTGGGTTTTTCAGCCAGATCGAGAAAATTAAAATTCATTCCGAAGGGTGTGTGGGAGAGTGTGCTTAGATGTGACGGTTCCAAGGGTTCTGCTGCTTCCGAGGGTGAGTCTAGTGCCTTACGTTGTTGGCGGTGTCGGCGGTAACACCCTACATGTGACGGCGTTATGGGTAACGCGCTATTTTTTTCAGTTATGTGCTAACGTGCTCGTCACTTCTTCAAAATATATAACGTACTTACGTTACTTATTTTGAGTAACGGGAAACCTAATTACGCTATTGCTTACGATTCTTCCCAAGACTCTAACAATTACAGTTCAAACTTTCCTGTTTTAGGGGCAAAGTCATAGCAAATCTTGCACTAATCCCACTTGCATTCCAACCTTTGCAACATTTTTTTCCCTAGGCAAACACTCTCGCTTTCTGCATGGGTATGTTATTTCTTGAAATGTAGCGCTCATAAAACCTGTAACACCGAAAAGCAAATTTTAATTTGTAAAAGTAACGCACAAATGCCGTGCGTTGGCTTTATCCGTAACAGTATAGGAAACGACATTTTTTTTTTTTTTAAGTAACGAAGATCCGTAAGGCGTTCCTTTTATTTGCGAGCAACGAGTAACGTATTTCGTTACTTTAAATAATGGGAAGAATGGTCTTGTCTGTCCTTGAGTTTTGTGCGCTTCCCATCATTTATAATATCCTTACCAGCACGCTCTCCGTCTCGAGTATTTCGTTACACTTTCCAGTAATGGCTGTGGCGGTATTACCGACGAATTTGGTGCTCTCGACGCGCTGTCAAGCGCAGATGGGTGGAGTAGGATTCATTCTCCCGGAAAAGTATTTGATTCGACTTGAAACTCACTCTGGCCAAGACTGGCGTACACCTTTGCCCAGACGTCCCTATGTTCCGTCGTCAGAATTCCCACGCCGACGTCCTTCTCGGGTGACATCTCCACGACTCGAATGAGCTGGGTGAGGATCCTGCTTTCGTCGTGGGCCACTCCTTGGGCATCGTACGCGTTGAAGGTGAACATCTGCGTCGTACGAAACTCGCACTCAGCTTCCAGACAAAGGACAAGGCGAAATGATTCGTTTGCAGGGATCTGTACGGAGTTGAGAAATTGAAACTCGTTTTATCGACCCGCATAAATAAACTATGCATCTCAGAAGGCTGAAAATTGATTTGACTGCGAAGCTGACGAATAGTGATGGGATGAAAATGTTTCAGAACGTTGCTTTAATTTAATAAACGATATTCCTCTTTGCGCCGAAGTCCAAAAACACTCTGAGAAAATGATGGTTTCAAGGGACTAACGGCAGTATTTGGTCTTCTGAACTCCCAGACCATCTGGTTCGAGTTAGAGTCTATTTCAAACAAGGTACCGTGTGCAAAAGTTGTGAACTAACTGCACTCGACAAAGAATAACCGAGAGGTGAGCAAGCAGGAGCAGAGCCATTAGTCCCCCCACGAAAGGATGCATCTGTATGTTTCAGTCCCCGAAGGCAAACTGAACGCTTGCCAGGAAAACTGCTAATATTCAGGGTGTCTTGAAGATCGGCCTGACTCAGCCCAGCACGGCTGTAAATGTTGACCACATTCGGACGAAACTGCTGATTTTTGTATGTAACGATCGTTCAGACATTACGTGGTACACCAACCTTCGCACGGTGTTTGAATACGAGTAAACTATCGGTGTTAACTCACATTCACCCAACTCTCTGGTCAACAATCATGTGTTGATATTTCGCAAGTCCCATTGATGTATTCTGCCCTCGCGCAAAGATGAGTATTTATGTAATAGTAATATCTATGATTACTAACACTTATGTTTTCCTAACAAAACAACTTTAGGAATCTTTAGAAGACGCGCGTGGAGCACAAGAGCCTCGCAGTCACGGTAAATGGTCACCTCTATCGCTAAAACTGAGTTACTGAAAACAACTCGAGACTCGTGTCTGCGTCTCCCCGTGACCAACGTTACGGGGACACGTGACCAACGTTACGGGAAGCCGCTACGGAACAGTTGACGCACAGCGTGTTCCACTCGGAAAGCACGTTAAGGAGCAGTATCCAGGTGCCTTCATGTCATCGTCGCTGCTTCCAATAAGATTCCATATCGACAACGAAGAACAGACTCAACGAGCCCGCAACATCAGCCATTACAACACCGTGCTCGTGGCCGTTGCAAAACGGATGCAACCTAGAAAAACATAAATGACGGAGAAAACTTGGAACATAAAAAGAAAAAAAAGAAACAGCGCCTTTGGTCGGATATAAAGGGCTCTGATTAGTTGTATTTTTTTGTCACTTGCCACACGTTTAGTGAGAGATATCAACATCGACACAATCAAACCGTTCAAAAATTGTGTTTGTGATCATTTATTACTACTTGCCCGAGCATGGAATCATAACTACCGTTCAGAGTGCGACCCGGTAAGAAGTATTAAATGAAAAACTTGTATCGTCCTTATTAGATCATATAAACGTCCGAGCTCCAGATGTTTCTATACACTCCGCTGTAATTTTACAAAAGCTTTCAGATCATTATTTTGTAGCATGTCAATGTGTATTTCTCACCAGAAAAGGTTATGATATCGAGAGTGCGTTTCGTTTAGAGCTGGTTCACTTCAATGCTTTTGATCGACTAATTAAAGAATATGGTCGGAATTTATTCCTATAAACGGTTAACAGCACGGGCTTGTACTCCATGTTTGTAGACATCATTAGAAATTTCCGGGAATATTGATGACTGTTGTATATGTTAGGAAACGTAAACTTTTATAGCCTTGGCTTACTTCAGATATTCTTAATAGTATAACGGAGAAAGAACAATTTTGGAAGAAGTTTCGGCACTCTTCCAACGACGTCAATATCAAAATATAAAACACAATACAAAGAAATAAGTTCAATGCCCTTATTCCACCAGCAAAAAAAACTATTATGCTAAAAAGGTTGCAAACGCACGCGCTGACTCCAGAAAAACTTGGTCAGTTGTCAATGAGCTTCGTGGACATGAAAAAAGTGCTTGACTGAGACGTTGAGAAACATTTTGGGGCGGACTTGACCTCTACTGTCAACACCGTTAAAGTTTTTTTTTCGCAAATTCAGTCGCACTCTCGATAGACAGTGATGAAGATTCGGCACACTTCGCTTCAACTATCTCTGATTCCGCTTTTCTTCCACCTCTTTCAGAGTCGGAGCTGAGGACCTACCTATTTGCCTTCAAGCGCTTTAGGTCGGCCGGTGTCGATGGAATAACAGTGCGTGACTTATGCCGAAATCACGACTCTTTGAAGAATGTTCTCCTTCTCATGATAAATAACATTCTCGAAACTGGAGAAGTTCCAAACTACTTATAGCAGGCTATGGTTATTCCACTCTTGAAGGGTGGAGTAAGAAACCAAATTTCATCCTACAGGCCTATCTCAGTACTGTCCTGCATTTCAGAGATCTTAAAAAAGCATCTGTATGTTGCTATGTCTGGGTTTCTTGTGAAATACAGTATACTTTCGATACACCAATAAGGTTTCGTCTCTGGCCGTGGTACCATTAAACTTCTTGAAGAATTTTCGGACATTCTACACTCTTCCTTTGACAATATTATGTTTGTTTGCGCACTCTTTATCGATGTTGCTAAGGTGTTCGATTCCGCAAACCATAACATCCTCTTAGACAAGCTGTGCAGAGTGGGCTTTCGTGGCCCATTTCATGCATTGTTAAAACGTTTTTTTTTTTTTTTTTTTTTTTTTTTTTTATAAATCGTATTCAAGTTGTTTCAGTAAATACCGTACGCAGCTCCCTCGCTTTCTTAACTTCCGGAGTTCGAAAAGACTCTATTTTGTCTCCCTTATTTTTTTTAACATCTACGTGAATGATATTTCTACTTCATTCACAACTTTCAAAATATCTCAATAAGCCGATGGCGCTCTTATATTTTTTCGACATCTAGTGTACGAGCGCGCAGTGAAAATGCTTCATATCAATGTCATTAAAAAAGTGCACTGTTTTTTCGCCAACAGGCTTCGGGTAAATGCTTGAAAAACAAAGCTTGTCTGCTTTCAGCTCTCTAAAAAATGTAAGCTTGACTTCTCAACCTTTTTTTCACACCTCCAATTGCTCATACTTTCATTGTACATCTGTTGATTACGTTAGCTCCGTAAAGTGTTTAGGCCTTCACTTTGACTGTGATTTCTCATGGAATTCTCATATCTCATATCGGTGTTTTCATCTCAAATCGGGCAGGCTAAAAGGGTCTAATTTTTAATTTTCACGAAAAAAATATATGTCTTGGGGGCATTTCTCAAATGAAGGAGGGCGCAAACCGCATGTTCCCCAGATTTGTTGTTCTCGAGTTACGAGCCGTAGAAGCCGCAGTGGCAGAAACTAGTGTTTTTGCCTGCCGTCGACGGTCGCGTGTTTGACACCCTCTGCTGGCGCTATTGTTTTCTCTACACCCTTTTACCTTTTCTCCCTCATTTAATAGGTATTATAAAGAAACCTTGATGTATTCAAATATTTTTAGGAAATTAATTGTTTTCTAAAATACATGTAAAACTCGTCACTCCGGTTGCTTTTTGGTCAACTTTGACAGGTCATTACTTTGTTTGTACTTAAGGTAAATTTTCTTTCTTTGGCTCTACAGAAAGCCCAAAGCAAGCCCACCAGGGACTTCAAGCATGCTTCTGCGTTTCTCACGTTGTACCGCTCATTGTGAATGCCATAGTTAGAATATGCCTCGGTTGCGGGGAACGGAACCTCTAAAACCAACTCACTGGAAATCGAACGAATTCAAAAAACATTTATATCCGTCTTTAAACATCCCTACCTTGTAAACGATGTTCATTGTTCAACTTATGACGCAACGTTAGAGCGTGTTGACTTGCTGAGCCTGCACCGGCGTCGGCAGAAGGCGGACCTATTGTTTCTGTTGAAAATGTTGCATGGGTCGATTAATTCACCAAGACCCTCGTCTGAAGCGTGCCTTAGGGTTCCACGTGTGCCTACTCGGAATCAATCCTCTTTTATATTAAAAAAAATTAGCCTTTTAAGCCCAATTATTAGACTGACTGAGGTGATAACCAGCACTCTGAGAAACTCTGAGAAACTCTGAGAATCAGGCTCGAAAGCATCACAAGTTGTCACAGGCACTTATATAGCCAATCTGTCTGCGAACGTCGATTTCGTCACTATTCTTGCTCTGGACTAGCATCGTAATCACAAAGTCAGTAAACGCTTGTGTTTGATTGAGAGACACTGCATTCGGTGCAGAACGTAGTTTTCTTCCTGCTCTGTACAGTAACAATAAATTTGAGAGATGTATTTTCACCCCCAAAATTGTATTTAATTACAATTGTATTTGAAATACCCAAGTTTTCGTATTTAAATACACACGTCAAATACATTATCCAATTTGTAATTAAATACAAATGCAAAATACACAAAGTATTTAAAATACGTATTTCAAATACTTGTATTTGAAATACTGCCCATCCCTGAGCATGATGATGTATACGATGTATTACAGACGTCAAGTTCGCCCAAGTAAAGTTGAGCGCTCACGCACCTGGCCGTTGTGAATGACTAGCACGTGTTTCCCAGATTTCTGGTGGGCCGTATTGAACTCCAACTTATCGTAGCCTATGGCCGGCGAGCGGTAAACACTAAAGATACGCTGGTATTGCGACATGTCCAAGGGAGTTGTTCCACGGACATCAGGCTGGAGAAGTTGTCTGCTTGGAAATATAATAAATTTGGAAGAATAAGATATCGCACATATAGAACGTTTTCGATATCCTATCAAGCAACATGGGTAACACATGCGTCCTAGACAGGAATCGTGACAGCAGATCCCCGTTCTCGCGGAACACTGACGCGGTCACTGCGTCCGATGTCTGTCCAAAGTACGTAACCAAACAATGACTGGCTGGGTTAAGTGGTGCACCAGCTGCTAGATGCCGCGACGTTTGATAAGATATCTATTCCATTACGCTGGATTAGGGTCTATAATGTTTCGCAGTAATAGACTAACTCACCTTTCAATTAAATGTTTGAAATCCAGCGTTCCTGCTGCGAGTGCGGCTGCCTGTCTGCAAAAATATCCCCAGTACTGTCAGTCCCAATGTTAAACAGGGCGCAGAGCACTGCACGTATTATAACAGGTGCAACATACCTAAGTTGATCTCTTTTCTTTGTAAATGTGTGCCTTGGAAGACACACAGTTGCTGATGTGCTTGACATCGGGAGCCTAGATTGCAGAAAGCTTTTATAAGCTTTTTCTGAAAACTTTAAAAGTCTCGTCAGTCAATCATTAACGTGCTTTGTTCTTTGTGTGAAAATTGCACATTAATTAGAAAAAATCCCCAAAGAAAGCGGCAGCGCTTACCCAGTTTGGGTTATGAGAAGCTTGCTCTGTATATAACTTGTACAAAATTTCTCCGTCACCACCAGGCTTTCCAAAGTCATGAACAACCTGCGAACAGTGTAGAAAGTTTAGATTGCGTTCTGTACAATATTGATTTGTTTCACAATTATAGGCAGGTTAGGCGTAGCTCCCTCCCCTACGGTCCACTATTGGCGAAGAGGTGTTTCGGTCGCGCCCTCTGACAGTTCCTATGGCTGATGTAACGATCAAGGCAATTTGCAGCGAGCAATCAAGTTGGACGGTGCATAAAAACTGCGGTGAAAGCCTAGTCTGTAGGTATTAAATCATCACCGTAGAGTTGAGAGTCTGACTTCGCCTTTATTTCTGCCTATTAGAGCAGAAATAATCCTACTCAAGACGTCATAGGGGGTGATTGGCAAAACATGGGAGGCGGATCACAGCGACGCCTTTGATCACGCACGTCACCATAAGACAAATTAGGAGATAGCACTACAAATGTTTGGAGCTTATTTTTTGATCGCTACGTATTCATAGGAGCAGTGTCACATCTGAGAACGCCAATAGCTTGTTAAAAAAGGCACCAAAAAAATATCTGAAACAATATAAATGATTAGCCAAGAGCATCTGGTGGATGTCGCTGAAGCCACTTTTGTAAAGCACGTCTGGGAACCTTGACAGGGAGTGACGATAACTGTCGCGCCTAGAGCTATACATGATTTGAACCTCAAGTCATCCCAACAGCTCTACGGCGAGCACAGGTGAAGAGGAGAGAAGGGAGCTCCACACTCAACGGAACTTTCTTTTTTGCATCCCAGATGTCGTTATTCTCCCATACAAGATTATAGACAGTTAACCCGTCACTCAAAATTCACACAAAAGCAGCTTTACGGTTAGTTGCGGTGACCAGATCGTTGGAGTCAGGGTGGCCAGATGCGGTCAAGCGAACAAGAAGATAGTCGTCCCCAACCAAGCCCAATTAAAGCGGCGTGACCTTCGTGAAGAAGTCCAAAACAAGCGGAAGTTCAATAAATGTACACATTCTTAAAAAATTATTTATTAAAAAAAAAGAAAAATAGAACTCGCTCAGATACGAAGGCGAATACTCACTGTGCCATGCCACTATCCAGAGAGCGGATATTGGCATGACACGCTGAGTAACATGCCAGCTTGAGCTCCAGTTTTGGTATCGTTCATGGAGGAGACGAATGGTGAATCCCATGGTAGTCAAACGTGCACTGGAAAGTGGCCGAGAGTTCCTCACGTGTTTTTCTGTTGCCATGTCAGCCATGTGCAGAACGAGGTCGGCATGAGGAGCGCGGATCTCACAGTTGCACGCTGTTTTTTTATCGTCTCCGGTGACTGGTCCTAGTCAGTCCTTAAGCTGTGTTTTCTTTTCCCACTCTTTAAAATATCTTTTGCTATACTTCGACCACTTTGAAGCCATTTTACGTAAAATACAACGGCAACTAGACACGACGACCGCAACTGCCGACTGGCGAGATGGGCAAGATGCCAAAACATTGGTGAATGGATATTAAAAGTTTTGTACTTTGAGACGCACGGTAGCTTGCGCCACCTAACCGCTGCGCCAAACGGTCATGCTGTTTTGCGCGTTTTTGGCGACAAACGCGCTGTCAGTGAGCACGACGAGCACTAAAATAACAATATTTGCAGGAAAAACGCGAATAAGTCCAAAAAACGCGACAAGCGACTGGAAAACTCTGCCAGCAACTCAGAGAAAAAAGAAGCCCAAATCCGCTTATAATAAGCGGAACTGGCCACCCTGGTTGGAGTGTGGGACACGTATGAGTTCGTAATTATTTCACGTGAACAAAAAACAATTACACGCAAAATTTACGCCGTTAAACGAAATTTAGGTGGAGGTCATGGCATACATTAAACCCCGCCCCCAAATGAGTTGCCCCGTCCATTACGACTGGATTGACTGGGCTCCTCGGCCGAAGACGCTAAGACTGGTGTATCGCTTTCACGACATCCGGCGTGTCTAGTCTGGCGTCTGACAACACCTGCTGGCTGTGCGAGCAGAAGCGCGACAGCCTCCGGCGTCGTTTGCTATTTCCCCACCGTCTCTTGTCGTCTGCAATGCGCGAAGGACGCGGAAATAAACGCTACCTTTCGGTGTCCGTTTCCGCCTTCGTCCGTCTGTTATTCCACTCCCCGCCTAAAAACTTTTACAACAGTTGCCAAGCTCGATCATTAATGGGGTGTTCCAGCATTCCATCATGCGCGAGAGACGGTCCAATACAAGCGACTGTCAGCGCATGGCATCCGCGATCGATGTAAGAGAGCGTGATGAGGCACAATTAAAACGTGGCCTTAAATTCGTCGTTTTTGTAGGCTAAGTGCACTACAGACCTGATAGCTACCGGCGTTTTGAAGCGAAATGACGGAAGCATACCTGGACTAACTTCATGCGTGCCGAACGCCCTACCGCATCCAGCCGAATGGCTCGCAAATTCTTAGCTGTGTAGGCACCTTCTCGTTATGGCAACCATGTTCCCAATCACGAAGGTTGCAGAATTCACGGAGCCGTGCAGCCGTTTGTACGGGAACCCCCATATTTATTCAGCAGCAACACGCCCAAAAAAACAAATTATGCCAGATCGATTAGAATAGTGAATGTGGGACGCCAGGCTTAGGCCCGTCCCGCTACGAAAAGAAGCGTCCGCACATCGCTTCCGAAAATGCGTACTTGCTATCGATGTTCGCTGCAAACCATGTCGGGTGAGGAGATCTTCCTCCTAAGCACCTTTGTGAACTCAAAAGAATCCGCGCTCGCAAAAACTGACGAGCTCAACGCGCTGAGCTCGTTCGGCGCTGGGCAGACACCGGCAGTCATGCTTGTTAACGCTTCAAACCAAAATGAGAAGAGCAATTTAAGAATGCATTTGAAAATATTAATTACGCTTTCTTGATTAGTTGCTTCTAAAACATACGAAATAGTCAATTAAAATACTAATATGGCAAGGAGATAAAAATTTACAACTAACCTTTAACACGCCGATCATCTCGCCGGCCAATAAAAAGCATAAGCACCTTGTAAGCACGGGGCGGGTATTAGGGGCTGCGACCTGCCCATTCTGCAAACAAATTGTGTCTAGCGGCGTAAACTTTGCTCGTAAAAAAATATATTTTTGTGGTAATTTCTTTAGTATACCCCTACCTTTAAGAAAATCTTTATATTTTAATTGCAGTGTCCCTTTAAGGTCTCCTCAATAAATGCTCTTTCATACAAAACAGGCATGACCATCAAAAGGACATCCTTCACGGAACTCAAAAAAAATTCCGTAAAAAGCAGCGAATTTTTTTTAAATTGTGGTTTGCGCTAAAACTATAAATATTATTTGAAACACTTCAGTACCTTTCGAAATCCCTCCCCTTCTTGTGCCGTTAAAAACGGCTCCACGGAGTCCATGTATCTGCGAAGGATGTCTTGCAGAGGCAGAACGGGCAAGGCGGGCAGTTCTTTCTGCCTGGACATCATGATACCTTTAAGTGCGTACGCTCGGCCAGCCGCAATCCTTGATGAAGACATTCTGCAAAAATATAATGCGCGACCATGGAGTTTACGAAACATTTTTTCGGACTAGGCCTCGTTCCGTCCAGAACCGACTCCTCTCGGTTAACTATCAGCCTTCCTTCACAGGGCTCGGATGTTACACGCTCGCTTCTCTCGACACTAGCCGGCGAAATTGTCCTCGGCATACAATTTCATCTGCACGTCATTATCTGTTCCGTCAGCCTGATATACGCAGAAATGTCTGTGCACTCGAATTCTGACGTCGCCACAGCACGACCGGCAGGTTCGTCACGAGGGCAGCCCTCGTGACGAATCTCGAACACTGACTGTCAGTGTTCGTCTGGGATTCGCGTTCAATCTACGCGACGTCGTAGGCCTGGTTTGATGTAATTGAGCCTATTGCTTTGTTCGCTTATTTTATTCACTCTCCTAAAAAATAGTAAGTGTACAGGTTGTAACTAGTCCACGAGTGACACGCTGTTTGTTAGATAAATGGCACAGCGGAAGGTTTCCACGATTCCACATCTCCAGTAACATCCGGAACCCTGCATGTCAAACAAGATGCGCCGCTTCATGTACATGGTTGCAGCAGCTAGAATTATTAAAAAAAATACCGAATTTTTTAATTACCTAGATCTCGCCAGATTTGCCACACAAAAACTATAACCAAAAATTTCTAACGCGAATATATCAGTCCATGGTAACGAATGCACAGCATATATCTTCAAATCGCGAAATTCTGTGCTCTTGAAATGTTCTCACA